ACGGGAAAGATGACCAAATGTAGGCAACAGAGAGGGCTTACTAAGCACACAGCTTGCGGTGGTGGGTGGGCTGGAATTCACGACTGGAGATGAAGATGGAAAAGGTGCTTCCTTCCCCTCAGCAAGTAAGTGCTCAGGAGGGTCTACTTATTTACTTATTCAAGGTTTTATTTATTTACTTGATGGGTACAGTTACAGACGAAAATATCTTCCATTTGCTGGTTCATTCCCCAGATAGCATATCAGCCGGAGCTGAGGCGATCCAAAGCTAGGAGCCAGGAGCTTCTTCTGGGTGTCCCATGTGGGTGCAGGGGCACAAGCACTTGGGCCATCTTCTACTGTTTTCCCAGGCCAGAGCAGAGAGCGGGACTGGAAGTGGAGCAGCTGGGACTCGATCCGTAGCCCATAAGGGATGCTGGCACTGCAGTGTTGGCCAAGGTTTCATTTACTAACGTGAAGGAACTACCGACTGAATATGGGATCATGTTAATAACTGTGACTACTATTGTATCTATCATGGAAGAATGAGACGGCTCCTGTGAGAAGACGAGGAAATGTGTTTGCAGATCCTACACACATTGGAGCACACCTTGTACATAAAGCACACAGACATAGTCAATATTTTTCCTTAACAGTTTTTAAAAAGTCTTATTTATTTGAAAGTCAGAGCGACTGGGAAGGAGAGACAGGGAAAGAGAGATTGTCCGTTCTCTGGTTCATTCTCCAAATGACCACAATGGATGGAGCAGGGCCTGGATGAAGCCAGGAGACTGGAGCTGCATCTGGGTCTCCCTCACGGGAGGCAGGGCCCCAAGCACTGGAGTCAGCTTCCATTGCTTCCCAGGCGCATTCTCAGGGGGCTGGGTGAGAAGTGGAGCAGCTGGGACTCAAACCGGTGCTCAGAGCGGGATGCCTGTGGCTTCTTCACCCACCGCACCCTAACAGAGTGCTTCCTAAGGACAGCAAGGGAGGGCATCAGCAGGCGTTTGGTGCTAGTAACTCAGAGGTGCCCTCTGTCTTCTGTCTTGATTGTGTGATGGGCAGCAGAGGGGAGGTGAGGACTCAGCCTGGAGGCACAGGAGGTCGCGTGCCCGTGGCTGCCCCACAATGGGGATGGAAGCTGCTTGTGACAAGCCGCCCCCAGGAGCGGCTGCCTTGTGTGAACTGGGTTTTGCAGGGATATCATTCCTTTCAGGATCCCAGACTCCTCCTGCCCACGCTTTTATGTCCTAGCTTCACTGCCTTCAACCCTGGTTGCACCTTTCCTAACCTGCGTGCCTGCGAGCTGCTTTCTAGTTTAATGAAGAATCTCTGGAGACAAATTTCATTTGATTTTTAACCTTATCTCATGAAACCACTAATGATAATTAAAAAATATTCTAATTTAAAAAATCATGCTTTTTTGATGTGTTGTTATGAGGATATTAGTGTGTCACTGACAAGACAAGTGGCTCCAAATATTTCCAAAACAGGAACACAATAAAGTGAGATTTCTCCCTAACTTCAGTGTTACTGCAGTAATGGGGATTTGGGAATTAAAGTGAACATTTCTGGAAACATCTTTCTCTTGGCAAACATAGGCTCAGAAACAGCCGGAGTAGGTACCCTCAAGCCACACCAAGAGCGGGCTGAAAATGTAAAACTCAAGAAGACCCACGGCTTTGCCATTGTTGACACGTTGAGAGCCCATTAGTTATAGTGTGGTTGAGAACACTCTGATTTGAAATAATTTTGTCAACAAAAAAGTTAAATGGAAACAGTGAAGATACTCTCACTTTATTTGGAAGAGGAAGAGAAATGTTTCATAGTAAGCCACACCATGTGCTTTAATGATGTTTTTGAGGGTATTGCTAAGAGCAGACGGCATGCGATTTATTTGTATCAACAAGCACCCTTTTGTGAGCACAAACGTGATGTGGCTAATGATTACAGCAACACAGCAGCCTCATCTGGATGCATCTTTCCTATCCAGCCCAGTAGCTCCCCCGAAGAGTGGACTTGCAGAATCAAAGGACAACTTGGTAAATCCTATTTACTCAGGAATGCATCAGAGTTGCTAATGCCTATGTTGACCTTGGCCCGTTTCTGATATGTTTAGGCACTTGTGTGTGTGCGTGTGTTTACGTTCTTATACATTTTGTTTTTAAGGTTGAGCTGTGAAACAAGAGTGTCTAGTTTAAATGGCAGTAGGTTTGCTATTTGAGTTACGAAATTTTGAATTGTGTACTCAAAATTTGTTAAGGGTGCTTAATGACAGAACATGAAAATAGGGATGATGAAGGTTCTGCTTGATTGGCTTAGGTGTAGGCAGCACATGCCTTAGGGTGGGGCCCTGTGGGTGGAGCCTGTGTCCTGAGCACTATAAAAGGCCAGAGACTCAGAGCTCCAAGTCCCTTCAGGGAGGAGCCCAGAGCAGGAGAGGTGAAGGATCTGGCAGGGGCCTCTCAGACCTCCAAGCAAGTCTCCAGCTCAAGGTGAGTTGTCTGTCTTCTGGGCCAGATCCGCAGCCCATTTCTCTTTGGCGACCACTTGTTTTCCCAACTCTCTTGCCTTTGGATGTTAGGAAGGGAAGAGCCAGTCTGTCCGAGTTCACAGAGCTCTGCTCAGCTTCCACTCCAACATCATTTAATATTTTAGTTTCACTTCAGGTCACTTTTTTTTTTTAATATTTTATTTATGTATTTGAGAGGTAGAGTTACAGACAGTGAGAGGGAGAGACAGAGAGGAAGGTCTTCCTTCCGCTGTTTCACTCCCCAAAAGAACGCAACAGCCGCAGCTGCGCCAATCTGAAGCCAGGAGCCAGGAACCTCTTCCTGGACTCCTGTGCGGGTGCAGGGGCTCAGGAACTTGGACCATCTAACACTCCTTTCCCGGGCCACAGCAGAGAGCTGGATTGGAAGAGGAGCATCCTGGACTAGAACCAGAGCCCAAATAGGATGCAGGCAACCAGGCAGAGGATTGAATTACTGGGCCATGATGCTGGCCCCATTCAGGTCACTTTTCATATGTGAATGCATTTTTCTTTAGGAGGAGGGGGAGGAGGAGAATAAGTGTGTGCAGCATAAGTATGTGTGCAGCATGAATCCCATCTTCCTTTTCTAGCATTAAATCATAAAAATTTTCTAGGTTTTTACTTAAATCCTAAAGTAAATGTGTGTACTATTTTTACTAGTTTCATGATACCTAACTAAAACATTTCTTCATTAGAGGGAAAAAGGAGAATCTGATCATAATACCAATAAAACAGCTGGCTATGCATGGTTAGTTATCTCAAGGTTTTAGTAGAAGTATCCCAAAGATGAGATAGGCAAAACTTTTTCAGAGATGTGAAAAAAACACCGTGGTCAATTTGTTTGAAAAAGAAGTATAAATGAAGTGTGTGTATTGTTGGTTTTTTGTTGTTGTTGATAAAACTTATTTGCATTTTTGTCAAGAGATTAAAAAACACTACAAAGGAGTTTAAAACAGTGATAGCACTCTCGATAATGTGGCATTTTTAACACATTTGAAAGGAAAGAGTTATTTTTTAAAGTCAGAGAAACCGTGAGGGATAGAGAGAGAAAGAGATCTCCCCTCAATGGGTTCAGTTCCCCCGATGACCTCAGCCCTTGGGCTTAGGCCAGGCTGAAGCCACGACCCAGGAACTCCATGCAGGTCTTCCACGGGGTGGCAGGAACCCAGGTATTTGAGCCATCTTCTGCTGCTTTCCTAGGCTCATTAGCAGGGAGCTGGATCAGAAGTGGAGCAGATAAGCCTCCAACGGCTGCTCCAATTAGGATGCCAATGACATGCAGCCCCCTTGCATCAGGTTTATACACAGTGTGCTGCTCAGGGGACAGTGCTGTGGCCTACTGGGGAAAACTGCTGCCTGCAGTGCCAGCATCACATATGGGTGCCAGTTTGAGTCTCGGCTGCTCTTCTTCTTATCCAGCTCTCAGCTCTGGGCCAGGTAAGCAAATTCTTGGGACCCTGCACCACGTGGGAGACCAGAGGAAGCTCCAGGTTCCTTTCTTTGGATTGGCCCAGCTCCAGCGGTTGTGGCATTTGGGGAGTGAAACAATAGACTGAAGACCTTTCTTTCACTCCCTTTGTAGATAAATAAATATTTATTTGTACTGATCGATTCTGGATAATTAATGTTTCCCTTTCTGTGTCTTTACTTGGAATAGGATAATGCGATGTCAGGAAACTTATATGTGTTATAGCTTCCAAAGTCTTTAAGTTCCATGTGGGAACATATTCTATTATCTTACCTGTCTGTATATACAGAGTTTAGTGGAATCAATGAGCATGGGAACCTCTGAAATGTGTCATTGGCTGGAGCTGAGATAAGATGCTGAAGGCTCCCTGGTGGTTCTTGTCCTCCTTTTCAACAGTCTGGCCTTGGTTGCATCCATGGCTTAATCCTTGGACTGTGATAGTGACTGCTCTTTCTTGTGTGATTCGATTATCCAACCACAACAGAATGTGGGATTTGTGTAGTTTTGGTGGGAGTTTTGCCAGTTATTCATTGTAGGTCCTTTTGCAGGGAGATCTTCAGGATTTGATGCTCACAGAGGCTGTGCAGACTTCAGTGCTGGTTCTGATCATGGGGCTTTCCCTCCAGTCAGCCATGCCCAGCTGTCAGAGTTAATCCATCCAGAGAATGCTAGCCATGGACAGAAGGCCAGGGAGGAGGCTCTAGGTGAACTGGAGGTTCTGAAACTGTGGGAGCAGCTGGAGGGACTGGGGGGCATCTTCTGGGTCAGGAGCGTATTCTTGGCTCGTGCTCAGCTTCGTTTTATAGAGGAGTTGATGACAATGATGATATTTTTATTCAAATTCACTCAAGGATTAGATTTTTTAGAATTTTTCAGCATTTCTTCTGATGCTGCTTTGTCAGTAGAATTAATTCAACCACGACATTCATCTTGCAGTGGATTTTGCTGTGAAGATGTTACATGATTTTCTGTACATTCTGGTTGCATTTCGATGAGGAAATTCTTTCTTCTGGACTGCAGGTGACCAGCGCCATACTGACTGGGGTGGAGACTGCATCCTATCAAGGTCTCATGGAACACCCACCTGGGCTCAGTTCCCACACAGAGAAGCTCTAGTCAGAGCAGACAGCTACTCCTGAGAGAGACCCCAAACAAGACCCCACACAAGGTAAGCTGCCTTGTGGCAATGACAATCTCTCCTGTCCTCATTCTCTTGTCATCACTTGGGCTTTGGGGCGTTTTTGAGTGTTTCCATTACAAGTGATTCCATTACTGGAATCTCTGTGGACTCGATGTTACCTCCATGTTTCTGCATCCATTTATGTTATTTAATTTGCATTGATTTAGATACGTCCTGATCACTGCAGAGCAGACGGTGCACTGAGGGCTCCTGATCAACTCCAGAAGCTGCTAAAGGGAACTGCCACCAGGTCACTACGAAGGCCTGCTCCCCCACTCCCCTGGGACCATGGCTAAGAACCTGCTAGCAGCGACCACCTGTCCAATTTGCCTGGGATATTTCTCATGTCCCGTCTCTCTCTCCTGTGGACATGTCTTCTGCTTAGATTGCCTTCGAGTCTGGGTGTCAGGAAGAGAGGATTTTGTGCTGGTTTGCCCCACATGTCGCTCAGTCAGCGAGAGAGTACCTATGGAAGAGTGGCAAATCAGAAACCTGACCTTGCTAACCAGGCATCATGCTGGTCTCCTGGAGCAGAGTCTGCTCCTTAGTGAGGAGGTTCTGAGGTTCCAGGAGGACGAGGTCCTGGACACAGCTACCGCACACTCCCTCCTTGAGCTCTCCAGCGACCTGAGGAGCGTTGAATGTGGGAAGACCTGCCACAACCTGCTGGAAGACCCCAGTAGTTTCCCTCACCTGGTCTGCATCCAGGGAAACACCTGCTTCTCCTGGGGCCGCCATTACTGGGAGGTTGAAGTAGGAGAAGCCAAGGAGTGGTCCCTGGGTGTCTGGCAAGTGTCAGCTGACACAAAGAGAAATGGTGATTTAACCTCCGACCACGGTTTCTGGATCATCTTTGTAGAGGGAGGACTCATTCACCCCAGCACCAACACAGAAGTAATCGTTCCTGCAAGCCCTAGTCTTCACCGCGTAGGAGTTTTCCTGGATGTGGATTTGGGAGAGATCAAGTTTTTTGATGTTGGAAATAAAGCTCTCATCTACATGCACAGGTTCCTCTCCACCGTGGAGCCTTTTCATCCGTTCTTCTGTTTTGTACCTTTTTAATGTGCCACTGGTGCCCCCCTGAGCATCTGCCTAGAACGTTCAGCCCATCTGCAAGATCTCAAGTGAAAAAGACCTTTGGCCCTTGGTCAGGATGACCAGGAAGACACAATGTTAGCATATACTGTCAACATTTGATAGACAGTTTATAGATTGTAGATTCTTGTGGTGGAATAATTGCATAGCATTTTTGAACAAGGCGGTAGATATGCAACTAACTGACGTCTGTATTTTGAGTAGATTTCCTCACTAAAATGGCTATGTAGTCTTAGGGGACACTAGGCACTGGGACCTATGTTTGCTCGTCTCTGAATGGGAGTAAGGATCTCTAAGAGCCAAAACGTTGTGACAATGGCGAGACAACACCGTACACTTGTTTCTTAGTAGATAGAGACAGAGAATATTAGTTTTAAGTTGATTGTACATTTATGGGTAGACATGTTTTTCCATGAATGTATTCTCTTTTCTGCACAATTCCCAAAAATGATAGTTGTCAGGAGATAACGTATGAAGCTTCCCATTTGTAATTCTCAAAACACAGCTGCACAAGGATTCCTGAAAGATGAAAACTGTGACTAAGTTATATTGGTGCTGACTCATGCTTATTCTCCTGGAGTTGCCCTGGGCCCCCTTCAATGAATAACTTAGTGTGTTGTTGTCAAAGGTCACTGAAGTGGCCGGCTCTGTGGCACAGCATGTAAAGCCTCCGTGAGCAGTGCAGACATCCCATGTGGGTGCTGGTTCAAGTCCTGGCTGCTAGTCCTGGGAAAGCAGTAGAAGATGGCCCAATTTCTTGGTCTTCTTCACCCACGTGGGATACCTGGAAGAAGCTTCTGCCTCCTGGCTTTGGATCAGCACAGCTCTGGCTTTGGCATCCAATTGGGGAGAGAACCAGCGGATGGAAGCCCTCTCTCACTATCTCTCTCTCTCTATGACTCTCTCTTTCTATGCCTCTCCTCCTTTCTCTGTGCAACTCTGGTTTTTTAAAATCAATCAATCAATAAATCTTTAAGAAATTAAAGCGATTGGATTTATGAGCATTAAAAATAAATCTTTAAGAAAAGTCTTATTTGAAAGACTCATGGTCTGTGGTCAACCTGTGCTTACTTTTGTTTTGTAATCAGTAGAACGTCCAAGGGGAGGGTTGCAGGTGGGAGGGTGGGAGGGAAGTCATTGGGGGGAGGGAGCATATGTCATCCATAAGCTGTACTTTGGAAATCTATATTCATTAAATAAAAGTAAAAAAAAAAAAAAAGAACTTCCAGCGGTTCGTTGATGGCAGTCATGGCATCACACAGTTTCAGGGAGGTGCTAATGACTTCCTTGCAAAACTTAACAAGAAATTTACATGTATCCATGTGATTGCTAGTTGTTCTGTACAAAATTCACTGATTAACGATAAAACAACAGTATAGGACATCTGAATTATTTAAGTTGCAGGGAAAGGCCATTTAAAGTCAGTCTCTAAATACTACCAAATGGGGCTGGCACAGTGGCTCATGGGTAAAACCACCACTTGCAGTGCCGGCATCCGGGCATCCCATGTGGGCACGGGTTCCAGTCTTGGCTGCTCCACTTCCCTTCCAGCTCTCTGCTGTGGCTGGAGAAAGCACAGAAATGGCGCATGTCCCTTGACCCCTGCACTCCTGGTAGCAGCTCAAGATTGCAGTGCTGAGACATCAGGGACATAGTACCATCTGTCTCCTGCCTTCAGTGCGCTGCATGAAAAGAGCATTGAAAATTGCAACAGGTTGGGAACTTCAAGTGACTT